TAAGAATAATGCAAGGAAACCGATAAAAAGAACACATTATAAATTGCACCAATCAATTAATGAATTACCATGTTGATTAATGAAATGAAACAGAGAGAGGATAAAGAGTAGATTAAGTTAGATTAGATTAAACTACAATAATTAAAAGTATTTTAATCTCAACTGATTTGTTAAAGAGAAAATGAATATATCTGTCATTCATCAGTGTGATTCTTTTTGTCAATCTATTCAACCTAACATCTCATACTAAAATATTATCTATTTTCTTATTGCTGCTTTGATGAAATTTCTCGTGACAACGGTAGCATGGTTGCTTATGTGATTTGGTGTGTGAACACCTAAGCTTGTGTATCTGTCCGTCTGTTTGTGTGTGTACACGCGTATGTGCATGAATCTATTCATACGAAAAGTGCAGTCGTTTCCCACACATTCATGTGATTCAAAAAATTGCCACCAAACAGATTCAATGTTTCAATATGTATTTTGATACAAATAAACAAAAGAAAATTAAATTGAACGGATTCAAGTTAAATACACACAAGAAAGCCACGAACATTTAATCAAAATACATAATAATAGCAATAAAAGTGAACAGTGAATGGGTTGTATAAAGAAGACATGCAAGAATTCAAGAAACGAACATGAGCAGTTTACAGTGAATTAAATAATATTTATTTCTCGAATTTAAAAAAAAACAATGTTCGTGTATACCATCGTGAAATAATATAGCAAACACAAGGAAATAATTGTTAGGGCTGACAGAAAATTTCTTCTTCTCTCCTCTAATAAATCAAATAATCATTTACTTATATTGCAACGAGAATTAGTTAATCGTTTCGTAGATTCTCATGTAAATTGACGATGGCTGGTAGTGGAATCTAGCAAGATGCGTACTTCATGCTATTCTGGGACTCAGTGGCTGGATCTAGCCGCAGCCTCATTGGCTGTGTGATAGTGTTCCCAGTGGCCTACTGGATAAAGCTTTGGCGCAAAAGCGGAAAACTATTCATTGAAATTACCAGTAACAAGATTACATAAAATGTTCGAAAATTTTTTGAGGATATCAGCTGGTACACTATCTGGACCAATGTAGCGATTCGACATCTGATAGATACAAGAAATCGGGTAGACACTGCAAATCAAAACACCAACAAGAAACCATCATCAAAGACCACAAGAAAATTCATCCTACTATACATGAAAAATATCTCTGAAATAACAGCTAGAATACTGAAACCGTTTGATATAGATATAGCACACAAGCCAGTCAAATCGCTTAATTTGATATTATGCAAACCAAAAGATCCAACAGAAAAAGGGGATAAAATTAATACCATTTACAAAATAAATTGTATCGACTGTGACAAGCATTACATCGACCAAAGTGGGCGTCCCCTTCGAATTAGAATCCAAGAACACAAATCAACCGTGAAAAGACACGATATGTATTCTTTAGTATCAATGCATATAGACAGTTATGGACATCAATTTGATTGGGATAATGTCAAATCTTAGACAGAGGAAACACCAAAAGTTCCAGGGAATTCCTAGAAGCCTGGTACTCAAACGAAAATGCAATTAACAAACATGTTAATACAGACGAAATATACCAACTAATAAAAGGTAAATCAGGTGAAAAGAAAGTTTAAAATCCAAGTCAATAGAAAATGGTCAATACACATGTAAAGATGGTTACCGGGAGACGCAATTATATCACGCATGAAGAAATTTAAATCATTTCACTGTATGCCAAATATTGAGCTGAAGATATTGTCCAGAAGGACGAAGAAAGCTCCGCAACCAAACCAACCAGCTCAGAGAACATTATTAATTACACTGCAAATCTTCTAAAGGTAGTAACGAAGCAATCAGTCTTATGCCTCCTGACGTTCTGTGTCGTTATTGAGTGTTCCAAATAGTCGTTAACAAGTAGTAGATTTAGACTTCTTTAAAATTATTCTAAGTCACCATTTTCATGTGTTACACATGAGTTTATGTGTGTCCAGACAAACATAAACTCACTAGTGGAGGGAATACAATTCACATTTGGATCGGAAAATGAACAAGGAGAATTAGCTATGTTAGATTGTAAAATAAAACGGATAGAAGAAGACAAACTAGACACTAGTGTTTATAGAAAACCAACGCATTCTAATAGATATTTAGATCTTGATTCACCTCATCCTTGAACTGTTAAAGCAGGCTTAGTTAAGTGTTTAACAAACCGAGCAATGGCACTAAGTAGCACAAAAAAAGACCTAAATGATGAAATAAAACAGATAGAAGAGGCGTTGGTGTTAAATAACTATCCTCTAAAATTCATTAGGAAGATTGAAAAACGCCAAAAGAAAAAGAAAAAGAATTGCGAAACTGGTAATAATAACATAAATAAGAGAGAATATAAGTCATCTACAGTTATACCATATAAAGAGGGGACATCTGAGACCCTACGTAGGATTCTAAATAAAGCAGGAATTAGGGTGGCATTTAAACCCACAAACTCACTCAGAGACAAGCTCTGTAGGTTAAAAGACCCAGTGGACCCAATTAGACAAAATAATATAATTTACAAAATACCCTGCAATGACTGTGAGGTCAACTACATATGTCAAACTAGTAGGTCAGGGGTAGTGAGATTATCAGAACATAAGAATTTATCTAAGGTAGCCATCACCTTCTTCGACGGGAAATGTGAGTTGACATAGGATCCGGTTGGAAAAGAGATAGTAGTGGGTGGTGAAACCACTTCTTGGCTGGTTGGCGTCCTCGAGATGACAAGAACCAATGCTTCGAGACAATTGGTGAAACAGCTCTAAATCGTTCTCAATGACGTAGATGATCTCTCATATTGACTAAAGTGGCATGAATTTCCACGTTACTATTCTTTTTCCCTCACATTTCTCATTAGCATCGTTCTTCTGAATCAGTTTTTTTTTCTTGCTTCTGTCTTCCTTTTTTCACTACGTGGAGTATGGCAACTTGAACTGCTGCTGTATTTCTGTACAAAGTCCTATGTTGAAACCAGTCAGTCACACTCGGTGGACCTCTAAATGACATCACACATCAGACAGGCTGTTGTGTGAACTTTGAGTGGAAAAGGAACGATGGATTAGACGTCCAAAGACATCATGTGAGGAGGAAACACAAGTCCGTTTCGTGACTGTCCATTACAAACAGCCAACAGAAATTATGAAAAACAAAACTAAAATTTATTAGTATTTTACTATACTACTTTTTTCACTCTACAGTAGGTTGAAATTTTGACAAGAAATTGATGCGGATTCGATGCTTAGTTAGCAAATGTTACGCTATATGAGAGGAGGAGAGTGTGTTTTGTTGCTCATACAGCTGAAGCCACTTTGATACCTATCAAGCTTGAAAACTGATCCCCTTCATTGTAATTTGGAAATATTTTTTTCAGTTACGTCAAAGGTAAATATCATCTGTAATGTGTATCATTACTAATATGTCATTTTTCCTCTTAAATAAACGGCTTTTTGATGAGTATAATACACCGTGGTATGGTATGCGTTCAAGGACATTGGTGCGTTTGCCCTAGGTGGTCACTAGTCTTTACATTTGTCACCATGGTAGCTTTACTAGCGTGTCACTGGCCTACACTTCCCACATCTCTGGGCTTACTACCAGCTACAGAAGTACGCCAGAGTTATGAATATGCCCCTCGTCACGGCGAAATCAAATCATGACTCCTCCACTGTTTGGCTAGCAAATTTTCTACCACTGATCCATAGAGATGTGTATTGCACCTTGAATATTTGACGTTTTGTTTTAATGCATTCATGTAATATGGCACCACACCTTCACTGTTCTTCCGGCGTGACTGCTCGCACGTGGCTTACTCCCTCATTGTGCTATCATTAAGCGCACTCTTGAGCTCGCTACCCCAGCCACTAAACAGATTAAGTTGTAAAGTATTCTTGTTTATTAAATTTTTGACATTAAATCTCCTGTAAAAGTATAATCCTCATATGAGCACACTACCTAGTCACAAGTAGTTTTATTTTGAGTTCGTTTATCGGTACTTGCCTGTCTGTCTGTTTTCGACATAGAACTTCGCACATATGTGCGGAAGTTCAAGTCGCCACACTCCCTCATTGTAGCACACAAAGCAAGAGAAGAAAGTACGAGAAATGCATATTAGAAACAGTAAACAGAGGTGTGAGACAAAGGTATAGTAATAACGAAGAACAAAACAGTTTCATTGGAAATCATAAATCACAAGGAGTGGATGCATCTGCACCAACCATTGAGAACGATTTTGAGCCATGTCACCAATTGTTTCCAACCATTGGCTTTTACCGTCCCGAGGACCCCAACCAGGAAGTCTACACCTTCCTACGTGGCTTAGACTAACTGTTGTAGATTTCATTGCCTGATGAAGCCGTGTCTTTGTTTGAGCAGCACTAGCTCTTTTCCAGTCTGACCATATGTCAGATAACATTGCCCATTATCGAGGAAGGCGATGACTAGGCGTACGTAACACATATCCTAACCATCTCAATCGATGTAATTTCACAACCTCGTCGATTGACTTCCCCTTCTTCCCTAACACTCGACGCCTAACCTCAATATTGCTCACCTTATTATACCACTACCTGACACGGGAGATAGAACGCAGACACCTATGATCGAAGACAGCTAATCTTTTTATGTCTTCCACTCTCAATGGCCAGGTCTCACAGCCATAAAGGAGGATGGAGCGGACTGTTGAGCAGTACACACGCCCTTTGGTTGACAGCCAGTTGGATATCACGTCTACGCCAGAGACGGCGTAAACTGGCATATGCGAAACTAGCCCTCTGTATCCGTACTGAGATTTCATCAGAGATCAACCCGTTGGCACTGGCTGATGCAACTTCCCAAATAAGTGAAGCGGTCAACGTGCTCTACCACTTCACTTCCTATTTCTAATCTAGGGGTCGGTGTAGTCCAATCCTGTAACATCATCTTGCATTTGGCCGGAGCGAATCGGTACTTACACGTTAGGTAGAGTGTACTGATCAGGGTTAACTGAGGAAAACAAGTTTAATAGGTGCTGACGTTGAAGACTACCTAGAGGTTGACATCGGCACTTAGAGATGCACCAATTGGGAATTAATCCTCAATAAACCCAGAAGGCTTGGCGTACATCACACAAGCTTGGCGACACAGAACAAACAATTCTCAAGTTCTTCTTCAGTTATTTAATTTAGTTTATTTGGTTACAGGATTTCATCATGAGTGCGTACTGATGAAGAGTCACAAACTAAGCTGACGAAACAGCTGTCCAGTACTCCTTGCAGGTTTTCCAATGGTTCTCTAACCAATGTCAGCTCATGATGAAATCCTTTAACCAATCAATCAAATCCCTACACACTAATACTTGAATATCAATGAGATGCTCACTGGCAACTGGCTCTATTCAGGTAAGTAGTTACCTGGGGTTCCAGTGGGAAGTCGTGACCAGTAGGTTGCAGCAGGTCGGGCGTGAGGACAAATGCTCACCGAAGACATTGGCTAGCGGTCGCGCTATATCGTGAATTGGTAGAAATTAGAATTCATGGACTGCCCACTGGATCGGGTCCCAGTCGCTTAATGGTATACGAGCTCGCCTTGTAACCAGAAGGTCCTGGGTTCGAATCCTGATGGGTGCGTACTGATGAGGAGTCCAAAACTAGGACGAAACAGCTGTCATGTACTCCTTGCAAGTTTTCCAATGGTTCTCTAACCAATGTCAGCTCATGATGAAATCCTGTAACCAATCAACCAAATCCCTACAAACCAATACTTGAATATTAGTTTATTTACTCAATTAGCCATACACAGTTATGTAATAAATATTACAGTGATAAGATTGAATAGCAACAGTGAAAGGGTGGCAAGTAAATTGAACAACACTATACAATGACCATTGTGTGTGTGTGTGTGTGTCATGTGAACACAACAACACCACAAGAAAAACTGATAAAATAAGCAAAAGAATAAATTTAGGGGTAGGTAGAAACAAACAGAGACAGAGAGAAAGAGATGGAGACGAAGATAAGTGTAGAAAGTGAAAAAAGCTAATATTAATTTAAAAGACCGCCAAAAATATACATAACGAGATTATCACTTCATTCAATGTTCAATATCCAATTTAAACAATTACACTGTACAATGTACAATTATTAAAAATTCAAAAATATCAATTTATACACCAGGAATAGAAAGACAAGACCTCCACAGAATCCATCTTCGGGTGTGTGTGTGCGAAAAATATGTGTGCAGCGCAAGACTGATGCATACAACACATCATCTTGTTTGTTTAAATTAGCGAGGAAAAAGAAATGCTACAAGTTCAATTCAATTTATCAATATTTTAATATTATAAATATATATATGTATATACAATCGACTATACTATTGTACATGGAATGAAAATTCAATATTAATAATATTAATATAATATTAACTAAAAGGCTGTTTTTCTTTTTGTGTGTGTGTGTCATACTTTTGATTTCCTTCGCCTTCGTAGTTTACCTCCTCCACCGCTGCTGCCTTGTTGTGGTTGCTGAAAAACACACACAAAGCATGTGTAAAATAATCTCAAGTTGTTTTAAAAGTACACTACTTATTTACACCCAAATCAGTAGTATGAAATGTACGAGTGAAAAAAAGAAGCATGGACAAAACAGACAGATTAACTGCTCTTGTGGGGCGAACGATTCGGTAAGTTTACCGTCGTCGAATTTTTGAACGTCATGACAAAATAAAGTGATACGTAGATCCATACAAGCTCATCTCATCGATACAAGACATGAATTTCAGACTAATAATATATGTATAGAGTCAGATAAGTGGTTTTCCACTGAGCCTTATGGGCATTTTGCACACTGTAATTTTGTTATGTGATTACTATTTGAATTAATTCAGACCGAACACTTCGGTCCAATCAATCGACAGAAAAATTTATTTGGTTACAGGATTTCATCATGAGCTGACATTGGTTAGAGAACCACTGGAAAACCTGGGAGTACTGGACAGCTGTTTCCTCGTCCTAGTTCGGGACTCTTCATCAGTACGTACCCACCGGGATTCGAACCCAGGACCTTCTGTCTTGAATTGAATTCATGGACTGGCCACTGAATCGGGTCCCAGTGGCTTGACGGTCTACGAGCTCGCCTTGTAACCAGAAGGTCCTGGGTTCGAATCCCGGTGGGTACGTACTGATGAAGAGTCCCGAACTAGGACGAGGAAACAGCTGTCCAGTACTCCTTGAAGGTTTTCCAATGGTTCTCTAACCAATGTCAGCTCATGATGAAATCCTGTAACCAATCAATCAAATCCCTACAAACCAACACTAGAAAAATTTAAATTGAATTATACAGTTCACAAGATCCATTGCACAAGAGGTGGTGGTTCCCGTGGCACAAGTGGTCTAGCGGATAACGCTATGGCGTTTGAAATTATGGCCACTGGATCCAAGCCTCGGTGGGGACAACATCAGTAACTCACTGGGGGACGCAGGTACGTCCATATGACGAGTCCCAATTAGGACGAAATGAGCATCCTGGGTTCCACTGCTATTTCCCATTCACCAATTAGCCTATTCATAGATTCGTAATCTGACGTTATTCACTCACTTACTTACCAAGTAGAACACAGGGCTTCAAGCTGGAGCTTCAAAGTTCCGGTAGCGGAGGTCTTCGTTCTACGGCAAGGGGTTGCTAGCCTCACGCTCAACCTTTCTTCTTTACCAGCCAACTTACTATCGGCTAAGAGAGGTTGTTAAGGAGTGAGTTAGTCCAGGATCGAAATCTTGGACTATGTGGTTGGTTGGCGAGCGTTCTACCGTCAAATCACTGATGCATCCCGTTCTTCTTATTGAATACGCCAACAACTTAACTTACACTGAATTCCGCAATGAATTATTTTTTTCACCCTTTCTATAGCTCGAAAGTGATAGTTCTTCTCGATAATACACCACGTCACCACATGATCGATACAAGTTCAATGTAGAAGTATATATATTATATTGATTTCATGAACGACCTGGTAGGGTCGAGGGCGAGAATACTCCGGTCTTCCTCTAGAAATCCACTCACATGTGGCCATGTGCTATGTCCTATTATATGACTTCACACGGTAGATTGGGTGTTTCACACAAAAGTGAAACAGCGAATGCGAACGTCTGGTGCGCTTACAACAGAACTGGCGGACATGCAGGTCTACCCAGTAGGGGAGCTGTAGAATTTGAACGGATCACAAATGGTACACGAACACCTGTTTTAGTCAGCAGAAACCATGTGAAAGCAGCTCCACTGTCTCATAGATCAAACTTTAAGTCAAAGTCTCGGCTAGACGGGTGGCTCCCCTTAAGACAACAACCTGCTTTGGTCTGCGCGTCCAACCAGTAGGTATCCTAGCTCTCGATAAACTATGAGCGAGAGAGTATGCGTGAGGCGCATCTCTTGGTGCGCATTATGTACCACTTGTGTGTTTGAATAATAATCATAATAATTCTAGGGCTGCTGATGAGAAACTAACTAATCGAAAAGGAGAATACTTCTTCTACACGGGCGAGAAACTTGGCCAGCGTGTCACCTAAAAGGATTTCCAACAGCCTATTGCAGACTTTTATCAACAGATGCCTAATTCGCTGGCTGGCTCCATACTGAAGATCAAATGGCCGACTGGCCGGCTGGCCAGAAAGAATTAGCAAAAAGAAACTCTGCAGTGGGACAAACCAACAGGCGAGAGCCGATTGCTCAATAAATATGTAGGAGGCAATGGAGATGGATTGATTGGGCATACGTTGGCATTGTGCACAATGCAGGCCATCACTCCAATGGAATCCCAATGGGAAGCGACGAGCTGATCGTCAGTGCGAGCGTGACATGAAGGAGATCGTGTGAGTTGGAGGAGGAGATGACAGATTATACTCAGTCGTGGAACCAGATGAAGAGGACAGCAAAATGAAGGACAAAGTGATGTGCAGCTGAAGCTCTACAGCAGTGAACGACAGTAAACTTCTAGAGTTATTTTACGATGAAGGGTGAATTAATTTCAAACAAAGTGACAAAAAGCATGCAACCGAGGTGAAGAAGGGCTTCTCCTGTCGATTGCTTTTCCAACCATCTGACACCGACTCAAAGTGTACTGGGATACTGGAGTCACACCTAAGTTGGTAACCCCATACTGTGAGATTGACTCGACAGAATTCAGTCAGCGCCACAACATCAAGGACTACACATCTGTGATATTTCTCACTCCTTAGTGTAGATTTCCGCTGAGAAATTGGGAGCGATAATCCAATCGATCAATTAAACCACATACGTTGAGTTACGCGTTGAAATCCAAAACACTCATGATTTGTCTAAAGTACAGTATGGGAAGAACAAACAGTTCAGCGAATTCATTCACTTAGCTGTATAATCGCAGTTATATATTAGATATATAATGGAGAAGATTTGTAGCTCAGATGGGTGACGCGAATTCGACTACTCTCAGAAGGGACATGAGTTCCTTCAAGTTGGTTGCAGATACGCCTTGCTGACTGACTGACTGACTGACTGGTGAGTGCCAACTAGCACGAAACCTAGGTCAGGCAAGGCTTCCTGTGGCCGATCGCCTCCAACCATCTAATATCAATAAAGCGATTCATATAAAGCGTATACAGTAGATAATGCTTAACTATAAGAAAACAATAACTACTATATACTAAATAGAGTATTAATTAATACATTAAGTACGATACATTTCAGTAGTAAACAACAGTCATGATTATGGAGTAACTAGGATCCAACCCATACTACTTACTAATAGTAAGTAATATAAAGTTGTAACACAAAAAAGAAGGAAGAACAAAGAACAGGTACGAAAGAAATTAACACTATGATCATCAACACCTATCCACCTCGATCGATACTGAAGATCAGATGGCCAACCGACCGGAAAGGCTAACTAACAATGAAGCCTGTCAAGCGACGAACTAACCCAACAACCTTTACCCCAAAGATATGTGGAAGGAGATCGAGGCGGATTGGACATACACACTAAGGAAGCCCTAGAGTGAAATGTGAACGGATAAGCGTCGGAGAGGATCATATGAAAAGGTAATAAAAGCTTATACGCAGAGTCATAGAGCAACTCCTTGAAAATGATGTCACAGAAGGGCATCCCGCTATGGAGGATGTTCCATTTGGCATGGCATAATATAACAGTGTAACAGTGTAATACCATAGAATTTATAACTTACTATTTGTGCATGCCGACCAAGTATCATTTCTAATTCTCGTTGGGCCTTTTCTTCTTGTGCTGCAGTTGAATCAATATCAGCAGTAACAGCTGACAGATTTGTAGATAAGGATGAACTGAATCGACCTACAGAGGGTAGAAGACTGCTACTACTACCCCCACTACTGTTACCCAATGCTTTCAGTTTAAGTGATTGCGGAACATCAGTGGTAGTAGGAGTAATATTGCAGCTAACACCACTATTATTATTATTATTAGCATTATTCTGATTAGGACCACCACCGCGCAGAAATGGTAAACGACGTCGTGGGGTGAATTTCTTCTTTATCACCTAAAAAATTGTGGAAAAATTCAAAAAAAAAAAAACGAAATACTATCAAGAAGAAAACAAGAGACAATTCAGCAACGAAATAATCTTGAGAAGCTGTACAATGGTACTTATATTTACCGAAAACGTATAATAGTCCATTATTGAGTAATAGGGGTGTACGTGACATGATTGATGCAATAACTCAGAAGTGGCTTCAAAAGTAAAACTAAGTAGTAGCGCATAATAGTTAACGGCACAAAGAACGAAAGAATTAGATATTTGATAAGATTAAAATTGTTATTCAGTGGGAAGAAAGGTGGTAGTTGAGTGTCTGTCTGTCTGTTTTCGACATAGAACTTCGCACATGTGTGTGGCAGTTCAAGTTGCCACACTCCATGCAGCACACAAAGCAAGAGAAGAAAGTAGGAGAAATGCATAATATAGACAGTAAACAGAGCTGTGAGACAAAGGAATAGTAATAACGAACAACAAAACAGTTTAATTGGAAATCGTAAGTCACAAGGAGTGGATGCATCTGCACCAGCCATTGAGAATGGCGATTTTGAGCCATGTCACCAATTGTTTCCAACTATTGGTTTTTACCGTCCCGAGGACCACAACCAGGAAGTCTACACCTTCCTACGTGGCTGGCTTAGACTAACTGTTGTAGATTTCATTGACTGGTGCCATGTTTTCGTTTGATCGCCTCTTTTCTAGCCTGACCCCATATCAGCTAAGATTGCCCGTCGACGAAGGCGATGAGTAGGCATACGTAACACATGTCCTAACCATCTCAGTCGATGTAATTTCACAGTCATGTCGATTGATTTCCCCTCCTTACCCACCTCTACTCGACGCCTAACCCCAATATTGCTCACCTTATTATACCACTTCACACGGGAGGTAGAGCGCATACTTCTATGATCAAAGACAGCTAATCTTTTCATGTCTCCTGCTCTCGATGGCCAGGTCTCACAGCCATAAAGGAGGACGGAGTGGACTGGTGAGCAGTGCACACGCCCTTTGGTCGACAGCCAGTTGGATATCACGTCTATGCCAGAGACGGCGTAAACTGGCATATGCGAAACTAGCCCTCTGTATCCGTACTGATATTTCGTCAGAGATCAACCCGTTGGCACTGACTGATGCAACTTCCCAAATAAGTGAAGCAGTCAACGTGCTCTACGACTTCACTTCCTATTTCTAATCTAGGGGTCGGTATAGTCCAATCCTGCAACATCATCTTACATTTTACAGGGGTGAATCGCATGCCAAACATACGAAGATTGCTGCTCAAGGTGTTCAGTAGACTCTGCATTTTGTCAGCGTCCTCGCCTAGTTGAGTGTCCATTTAACAAGTGTGAAGAGGGTGAGAAAATGTACAAAAGGGAGCACATGAGAGTGATATTAGTGAATTAATTACTAAAGTTAAAGCCAAGTAATCATTAAAAATAAAAATATAAAAAAATACAGACGATGCTTAATGAAGAAGTTAAAATCATGGTAGAATAAGAGACTGGAAAAACATTTTCTGTAAAAAGAGTTCGGGGTAGTATTGATGAATTGCCAACGCCTCCACCATACACAAATGTCGAAGCCTAACACCCTAACACATACATAGGATAGTATACATATAGTATATGGTATAGTATACTAGTAGATCAGGAGTAGTGAGATTGCCTGTCATAACATAAGAATTTAGCTAAGGTTAGAATGATTGATACCACTCACGAAGATAAGTAATTTAGAAAAATACTCAGCACTACATGCATTAACACACAACCACACAATAATGTGGGACAGAGTCAAAATTCTAAAAAGTAATATAGGTAGGTGAAGAGAGACAAAGGTTGATTACTGAATCCTGCCTTGTTCATTGAGTCTACACCCAACACATCCAATAGAAGTGACTCAACGCAAATACCAGAGATATGTATGGAAGATATTATTACTGCCAGTCAAATCAGAAGAGGATAATAAATAATCTTAAAATTCTATTTCAATTCAAGCACATCACAACATTCTAACAAGTTATTTATTTTACTATAAAAACATCTTTTTTCCCATCTGATTGTATTTGATCAATAACACTAATATTATTATTTCTGAATGTACTTTATCTTATATTACTGATTTTAGTCAAATGTCTAATCATCAATTTTTACTCATGTATATAAATGAAGCAAGAAAGTTATGTGAGTAGTGTCTTGATGTGATGACTATGAGCAGCAATAATTTTGTACTCAAAATTTGTTGATCAGTAAATATTACTTACTGTATAATAACACTGTGTGTGTGACTTTATCAAAATCAAAAAATTTTATCTATTATGGAGTAACTTCTACTCTACCATCAGAATGCCCAAGTTTTATACTCATGTCTATAAAGACTTGTCTGGGTTTGCTTTTTTCTCTCTAGGAGTTATCACCAAAATGTTTTTAATTTCATGATTGTTTTGTAACTTGTATTATTAAATTAATGAATTAGTTTACGCTGAGATAAAATACATCACGTCTAAACACTTGATGATTTGAGTAGGTGGGTGGGTATATATATATATATATATATATATATATATATATATATATATATATATATATATATAGTTCTCTCACAAGATTGACTCTTATATATTTACGCATTATTCCCTGAGTGTTAATCTCTATCTTACCGAAATGGGTTACAGACATACAGACAGAGGGAAGGTGAGAGGGTGAGAGAGAGGAGCTCCCAATCTCAAAACCCCTTGTGTACTCCTTCCTCGTCAACTTCCCTAAGATATTCATACAAAATGACAAACCGAACAAACAACCTCATTTTAGTTAGATTAGAGATAATCTCCTCATCAATTATCATCACACATGAATTGAGGGAGAGTGGGGAGGGGGTTGGTTGGCGGAGAGTCATTAAACGATGGTGTGTTGCTCATCCCCGAATGCCCAAAAATAGAGAGCAAAAATTGAAAAAAAGAACAGACTTATCACAGTTAATCACTTTAATAGAATGGAAAACCACCATCTCGTGTGTGAAAACAGAACAAAGAATGCTGTAAGTTTTAAGGTGAAGGAAGAAGTGGAAGAGGAAGAGGAAGGTAGAGGGCCTTCCCTCTCTCTACAACACGCTCACCCACCCAAACTTGCACTTTCCAAGATGATGGAGAAAAAAGGAGGGAGAACAAACAAACAAGCAAACTCAAATCATCATTCATTTTCTTTGATTTTCCTTTAGTTTTTCGATAGAAGATGGATGGTAGATTAATCAGTGTGAAATATACACGATATGGGTGACTGAGTGAGTGGTAAACAGCTAGCAAAGATGATCAAATTTACACATTTGCATTTACACCAACCGCCCGCTCCCTTTGTATTTATTTATATATTCAACAGGAAAGAAGAAAGATGAACAACTGACCATAAACAACAGTGTAGTCAGCGAAATCATCAACCACTAGAGACTATCAAAGATAATCAAAAGTGACATAAAAGTGTAGAGTTAACAAATATATATGTAGGTATATATACGTATGCATAGTCATCGCCTTCCTCGACCGACGGACATTGATAGCTGACATAGGGTCAAGTTGGAAAAGAGCTAGTGGCGGTCAAACCAAAACATGGCTTCATCAGTCAATGAAATCTACAACAGTTAGTCTAAGCCACGTAGGAAGGTGTAGACTTCCTGACTGGTTGGGGTCCTCAGGACGGTAAAAACCAATGAAGACTGGAAACAATTGGTGACATGGCTCAAAATCGTCGTCCTCAATGGCTGGCGCAGATGCATCCACTCCTG